ATTTTGACGTCGAAGACTGGCATAGCGGTGGAAGAGAGAAGGTTTTCGAAGATGCAGAATTGGAGGCATTACTTGATCAAGACTCATGTCAAAATAAAAAAGAATTGGCACGTTGAGCCAATGATCCCGGCCATGCTTCCACGTCGACGGCTAAACCGAATATTCACGCTCCAAGATTATGCTGTGTATTTGGTGGGACCAGCTCGGCGTAGTGTATTATAGCTGTTAAAACCGACTGACACAATCACAGGCGATTAGTATCGAACGCAATTGATACATTTGAACCGAGCATTGAAAGACAAACGGCCGCAATACAACGAGAGACACGATAAAGTGATTTTGCAGCATGACCATGCTCGACCCCATGTTACGAAAGTGGTCAAGACATACTTGGAAACGTTGAAATGGGAAGTCCTACCCCACCCGCCATATTCTCCAGACGTTGTTCCCTCTGACTATCATTTGTTTCGACAGCACACGACCTGGCTGACCAGCACTTCCGGTCTTATGAAGAAGTAAAAAATTGGATCGATTCGTGGATCACCTCAAAAGATGACTAGTTTTTTCGACGCGGGATTTGAAAGATGGGAGAAAGTAGTGGCCAGCGATGGACAATACTTTGAATCATAAATATATAACCAGTTTTTTACAATAAAGCCTCGAATTTCGGAAAAAAACGGCGGAAGCAAATTAAAGTTGTACACCAAATATATATATGAATGTCAATTATTATAATTTAAAAATAAATAACTAGGATGCCCTTTGAATAAATATAATACTTTTATTAATTGATAAATAGTTGGTAATTTTAGTTACTTTTTTCTTAGATATCCGCAATTTTCCCTCTCTCCTCTATCTTAATATTTTCATAGAATAATGAGATAAATTAAATGATTAAAAAAACTCTTAATTTCTTTTCAAAAAAAGGATAACCTTCCGAAAACATCCAACGCTCGATTATCATGAAATTTGGCAGGAATATTCCAAATGAATGCCCTTAAATGGATTTTCACCGATAAAAAGGTTTAATGTCAAAAATGTTTAAGTAAAGTTATAATATATACTACCTAAATGCATTACCGTTACATAGCTCGCTGTAATAGGACCTGAAGCAGGGGGAAAGAGGGATGAGAGTCGGGGGTGAGAGTCGTGCGCCCCTTTGCAGGGGAGTAGAGGGGGGTGAGAGTCGAAGATGAGAGTCGTGCGATTCTAGAGGGGGGGAAGGAGGGGGTGAGAGTCGAAGGTAAGAGTCGTACGCACCTTTGCAGGGAGGAAGGGGGGTGGGGGAGAGTCGAAGATTAGAATCAAAGGGGAATGGAAGTTGCTTCACACCCTATTACAGTGTGCTATATAACGGTAATTATAGGTGGTATATAACTTTATTTAAACATTTTTGACATTAAACCTTTTTATCGATGAAAATCCAGTTAAGGGCATTCATTTAACGTCACATTTGGAGTATTTCTATCAAATTTCATGATAATCGGGCGTTGGATGTTTTCGGAAGTTCACCTCAAAAAAGATTTATAATTATATACTGAAAACTTTATAATTTTTTTAAAAAGTTATAGGAAAGACTGGTGATTGGAGTTAGTTGTAACAATGCGTATATCTTTTAAATAATAAGAGATAAGATGATCATATGAAGAACAAAAATAATCGATACCGAGGCCTGCGTTTGCCTCATGACATCAAGCACGTGTGCGCTGCATGTAAAAGAAGTTATATGTAGAATGCTCAGACAAGCCACGTAAGTGTAAATTTACAATGTTATACTTTTATGCTTTAAACTTTCAAATAAAGTGCCTTTTATCTTGTTTTCATTTTTTAAATTTTAAAATAATTAATACTAATTAATAAAATAAATTTCCTCAAGCTATATCTTTTTTTGATATTTTTAAATCCAAATATATTTATATAATCATATTAAGAATTTTAAGCACGATCGTATATGAATACATCGAATACGATAAACAAAGCCAAGATCGGTCAAATTTTGGATTACAAAGAATATATTATATATTCTTTTATTAAATCAAATTATTTCAGATATAATTACGATAACATTTGGTTTCAACACAATCATTCTGAAACAATTAATGTATTATTTGTAACATCCAAAATTTAACCGATTTTGGTTTTCTTTATCGTATTTGATGTATTCACATATTTCACATATAATACGGTCGTACTTAAATTTCTTAATATGTTTGTACACACGTGGCCATACAACGTATTCTCTCTATACATATCAGTTATTGCGAAGAATATTTCCGGAGCCTCAGTGGTCGAGCTGGCTAAGACACTCTTCCCGGAAAGTCGATAGGTCTCAAGTTCGAATTCTGACTGAGGTAATATTTTTCGCAATAAATTTTTTACTTTCTTTTTTTTTTCTTTCTAATTTAATTTAGGGAAAATTATTAGCGTTTCAGAATGATTGTGTTGAAACCGAATATTATCGGCTCGCAATTATATTTGGAATAAATTGATTTAATAAAAGAATATATAATGTATTATTTGTAATATTCAAAATTTATTTTAGCTTTCTTTATCGTATTTGATATGTTTATATATTGTAAATTTTTACAACATCAGTTTGAGGTTAAAGTACTACATCGTTAGTGTAGGGGAAAATGGGGGAACTGTGCGCAGCAGGTAATTGTGCGCATCCTGGTTTGGTACTTTTTCAATAGATGGAGACATCACCGTAGTAAAATTTTTATGCAGGAGGTCGTCCTCTTAAGTTATAATCAACAAATATGACGTAAGTACGTTGATAAACAGTGGAAGACAAAAAAGTGAAAACATACCTTTTTTTATTATTTCAGAAAATAAATCTATATTTTTAATTTGTTAGTTTAAAGTTGCATACGTTATTAAAGTACGTTATTATAAAGTGCGTCTTTCGAGCTGTTATTTATTAAGTTATTTATTATTTGATTAAGAAGTGTTGAAGTAATCGTATTTCATATCGAATCAAGTCGCGGCAGGCAACTGTGCGTTTTGAAATGCGCACAATTATCCATCTTCCATAGACTGCTTTTCAGTACATACAAGTGAAACTGAGTTTAAAGCAAACTGAGTATTTTATATTCAGATTATGACGTCACTGCTTACTTTTGTAAAAAGTTATCACATGACAATACAGGTTCACAACCCCACTTTGAAGTGATTTTACGAGATTCACTAAAGCATACAGTTTCGATCTTGTGTAGGTTATAGGTAAAAACTCAGTTGAATCGCACTTGTCAGAATGCAAAAGAAACACGTATTCAACTGAATTATGACGTCACAAGTGAGAATTATCTGAGAATTAGTGTAGGTAAACAGAAAGCAACTTATGGCTAGCACTAATTTTTTTTATACACAATTAAAAATATTATTGTGTAATAATTAAAAAATTAATTAAAATAATATGTATTAATTAAAATAATCATTTGACTTTTAACTTGTTAAGTTAAATAATTTTATTATATTAATTTTTTTTTGTTTCTTCTTTATTATTATTTTAGATGCTTCGTAAATACAAAAGAAAAATGGATAAAAATAATTGGACTGAAACTCAATTAAAAGGAGTGAAACGATCAATAACACATGATCGTAAATTCAAAATCAGAGACACTAGCCGTAAATATGATATCCCTGAGTCTACGCTTTGAAAACGGATAAAATTCAATTCGCTGGAACATGTATTATTGGGTTACGTAAGCCTACTTTTACGATTGAAGAAGAAGCACAGTTGGCAGATCAAATAATTAATCTCGCAAAGTTATATTATAGAATCACGCCTCTTGAGTTTCGCACAGTTTACGAATTTGCAGAAGCTAATAAAATTAGCCATATTTTTAATACAACATTAAAGTTAGCTGGGAAAGATTGGCTTTATCTTTTTCTCAAGTGACCATGCATTTCATTAAGACAACCAGAGGGCACCAGCCTTAATAGAATTACTGCATTCAATAAAGATTCTGTTATACAGTTCTTTATTAACTTGAATGAAGTCTTTCTCAAACATTTAAGTTTAAGAATCAAACATGGACGAAACTGGTATCACGGTGCAAAAAAAATGTCCAAAAATTTATGCGCAGAAAGACACTAAAAAAGTCGAAGCAGTGACTTCATGAGAAAGAAGATGAACAATTACTGCAATTTTTTGAATACTGCAGAATATTATTCCACCCATGTTAATTTATACAAGAGCTCGCATGACTCTCCAACTTCAAAGAAATGGATAGAAGCAACTTATGGTTGTTCCAGAAATGGATGGACTAATGAGTACCTCTATATAAACTGGTTGCAGCATTTTAAGAACCACGTGAAACCAACTCATGATAATCCGATGCTTTTTATATTGGATAATCATACAAGCCATATTTCTCTTGCAGCTTTTGAATTTTGTAAAGCCAATTTCATCACTGTTGTCATTCTTTCCCCTCACACGTCTCATAAAACTCAGCCTCTTGATCTGACTTTCTTTGGTCCGTTGAAAATCGTTCTTTATCGGGAATATGAATTATTCTCGAGTACGAATGCTTATGAGAAAATTACCAAATATAACCTCGCAGAGTTATTGAATAAAGCATTCCTTAAGGTAGCTATAATGGAAAAAGGAATTTCTGGTTTTTTGTCAGAATTTGGTCTATAAACCCCGACAAATTTAACAAAGATTTTGCTCCGAACAATGCTGATCAACTCTGAACTTACTGAAGCACTTTCTGAAATTTTCCAACCAAATGAAAATGTTGATTTTAATGAAAAGAATAATTCTGCTGATCGTGAAACTATAGCGCTTTCTGCTCCAAACGATTCCATCAGATTTTTTTCGATTCAATTCCGTATTCAACTTTTAAATTTACTGTTGCAGACTTCGTACCAGTTCCCTCAAGAAATGCAAAAATGTGATATTCTCATACAAAAATGCAATCTGAAATTTTGACTGCGTCTACAAAAAAGAAAATTGGAATATGCAAAAGAGACGAAAATAAATGCTGCGAGGAAAAAAATGGAGAGGTTGAAGAAAAAAGCAGACAGCGGAACTAAGAAAAATTTGAAATTGAAGAAAGAATCGAAGAAGAGGATGAAGATTAAAGTTTTGAAAAGCGAAAAGTCAACGAGCTCTGACATCAACACGGACAATTCCTTCTAATGAACAGTGCACCATTTGCGGAGAAGCCGGAAGAGACAAGGAACTTTGGTTTCGGTGCTGTCTGAATGGATCCATAAAGAATGCAGTGGAGCTGATAATGTTGAAAATTATATGCGATTTTTATTTGGATAATTAATATTTCCACTTTGATTTTCTTCCTTTATTTTGCCAAAGTCTATGTGCATTATTATTATAATGTATATATAAAATATATTTAATATATATTTATATTACCAGATTATAAATGTATTTTATGATTTCTTTATCAACATTATATAATTCATTTCCTACAACTTTTGCTTTGCGCACAATTACCCAACCCATGCGCACAATTATCCGCGCGACAAATTTTTTCGCTTTTCCGTTTTTTCCTTTTTGCCAAATATAACTTTACTGAATGCAAATGTGTTCAATATAAGGATACGTAATGGTAGAAGAATGTTTATAGTTTCTATTTCTATACTTCGCTTTGAATTTAGAAAACCTTTCCAAGAAAACAAATATCCCTTAGATGCGCACAATTCGTCAACTTTTGCCCTACATTGTAACAGTATTACAATTAACGATAAATATTAAGAAAAGTTCGTTCATCTCAAATTTTGATAAAAATACACTGAATCAATGTGTTTTTACGTAAAAATAAAGATTTGACAAGAAAAAAGTGTCGCTCTGTTTCGTGAATCGAAATATTTTAAGTTGACGACAATTCAGGTTAGGAAATCTGTCATAATCATAAAATACTGCGATGCAAGCACACGCTGAGGTCACATTTTCATGCCCTATGACCGCGAAGTTGTAAGTATTTCTTATTATAATAGATATTATTTACTGTTTTACAAACACAAATTCACTGCTTTAAAAACAAATTATCTGTTCTGAAATATCTCATAAATTTACTGTTTTAAAAACACAAATTCATTGCTTTTTAATAGTAAATTTACTGATTTAAAAACAAAAACTAATATAAGAAGATAATTTCTGTTTTAGAACAGATAATTTATTTTTAAAGCACTGAATATGTGTTTTTAAAACGGTGAATTTATGTTTTAGAACAGATAATTTGTTTTTAAAACATGTTACAACTTTCCCTAGTTCTGTTTCATTTTGCCCCAAATCGGAGCAATGTACTAATTTGAATTTGATATATTACTCATAAACAGCTTAAAATTACACCTTTTTACAAGTAGTACCTTAAAGCTAAGTAGTTGTTGCGTCATGTGCTTAAAAAGAAATAAATATATATGTCATAAATAAAGAAATATATGTATATTTCTAAAAATTGTTACAATTGTTCCCAGTCTCCTCTACATATTTTCTTCACATTAACTGATTTATCTTATTATTCTGTATATAAAGTACTTATTTTTATAATATATTAAAAATATTTGTTTATATTTACAAATATTTTTTTATATTATGTTGTAGCCTTTTATAAATTAAATGTACATTTCAGATAGAACAATTTTAACAAATCTCTATTATGAAATGCACATTTAATTTCAAATTTTATTTTACCTTTTTTTTTATATTATAAATTACTTTATATTATATCTTGAACAACATTATATGCGATAAGAATTATTAAATTAAATTAATCAGTAGAATTAGTTTTTTAAAAGATAATTACAATAAAGAGAGATTTTTCAACTGTAAAAATTTATCGATTAGATCGAATAAAGAACGTCGTTGCATTATTTATAAAGTTTCGGAAGCGTTTTATAAAGCTTGTAATTGTTATTTTCGAATTGCATTTATGGTGGCTAAATCGAGGTTCTGTTGTAATTTTTAAAACCTCGTAGGTAGCAAACATTTAGACGTTTCGCGATTAATTGATGTATTAAAAATAGAAATAGAATTTTTATATACATACTCAAGGGGAAAATGAAGAAAAAACGAACAATGTGTAAAAAAAAAAAATTACTATGCGACTTTATATCTATGGCGACTATGCGACTTTATATCTAATAAATACGATCAATATATTGAGTATCTTTATTTATATATTATTTAAATTGATGAAACATGGTATTTTGTAATGGACCAAGATAAGATTATTCACATTTTTGCTAAAAAAAATTGTTTTAAGATTGTAAAGTTTGTTTAATTTTGCTGTTACGAATTGTAACAATTTTAAATCGATAAATCGATTCACCCTCTATTTTTCTAACGAATGAAAGAATAACTTAGAAGAAAGAAGATCTAGGAGGAGATGGCAAGGGATGGATAAAAGCTTTAGTGGTTCGACTTCTTTACTCAACTGCATCACGTGCGACGCGCGCGCAAATTCAAGCGATTATGCAAATTTCGCATTAAAATGCATTTTATCGAAATCTCCGACTATTCGGTGAAAAGCGAACACGAAAGATGCGTCGCTTCGCTTTATGCATTTGTGTTTGTGGTTTATCCTTTCACCTCCTAATTCATTGTTTGTAATTATCATATTGTAGTATTTTTTTATAGTACTTAGTGTATTTTTTTCTTTGTAATTTTTAATACTTTTTAAATTGTAATCTATTTTAAAATATCTATTTCGATTGTATTAGATAACGTAGACCTGCGAGGTTTAGATATTTGAGAAATAGGAGTAATTTTGTACGCTAAATCCGATTTTTTTGTAGAATTAGATCTAGCACATCTTCAGATTTTCGAAATATTTGAGATTAAAAATGCTCAGAAAAGGCTATTTGGCCAATTTCATGAATTTATTATAAAGGAATATATTTTTTTTGAATATTTTCGTTAATGGCATAGTACTAGTCTTTTTCTTCAAGATCCATTTTCGATTAATGTTTTACGACATTTTCTTGCTGAGATGTGTAAGATTGATATTTCAAGGTTTAACTGACATAAAAATTCGAAGAACCGTGGCAATCGTGTCACGCCTCTGACCAGATCAATTTATGATATGGACAGTTTTATCAAAATTAAAATGTGAATGAAAATATAAATTTTTTAACATTGTTTATACTTTTTTTAGAATTCAAAATAGTCATTTTTTATTTTTAAATCTGCTAGGGTATTTCTGTAGTCATATTCGGATTCAGCGTACAGAATTACATAGAAAATCACTTCTACTTTTTAAACATCTTTTAACACTCTCGATTTCGCAAGCTTGTATAATCTACATCAGATATTAAAGAATCAATATAGCGTGCATTCCACTTAACGTTTGCAACGCTCGCGAGCATCATTTCATCCTCGTTTAATGTTTAATATAAGTACATGTTGCACATATATCCTATTTTTTATTACTTTTTTATATTGTTAGTATATGACATGATATTACATTATTTTCTATATTAGTTATGTGCCATCTTACAAATTTATGTATATTTATATATAATTGTTTTCTCAAGGAAATAAATTTTTCTATCAACCTTTGTTGCAGTTGATAACAAAAATGAGAAAGACTTTGTCTCGATACATTTTTCGATATATCAGTTGTTATGCATTAATATTTCTTTTTCTGTTGCCGAAGCTTCGATTAGCGGTCCAAAGAAAGTTATTATTCAAAATTTTACTGAGTTGATAAAATATTGTCGATGAAATCCCGGTTGATTTCTTGAGATTGACTTTTCCTCACCAAAGAATTTGTTTACAACGAAATATTATATATCTGTCTTAGAAAAGACATTGGAAATGCAAAGTTTCTTGCTCAACATCATAACAGAATTACAAATTTTTATTTTTATTTTAATATTAACTATTAATTAATATATTATTTATTATTAATAATAAGTGTATTACATTATGTATTATTATTATGTTATTATAATATATTATTAATAAACAATATATATTTGTGAAAATTTGCTAAAGTGATTTTAATATGTATAAGTAATAACAATATATGAAGAGCAAAATTCCAAAATACATTTTATCCAAAATTTCATTTTTTTAGTTCGAGATGGCATAGTGTTCAGTGTTGAAAGACATATTATAAGTTACTTTGAAATGTTCAGAAATCATTTTTTCATCATTAATTTACATCCTGAAAAAACATAGACATTTGGAAGGACATTATGTTTTTAACTAGAGACAAACAAAATGCATTTGTTTAACAATTTGTTTTTTAGCAATTATTTAGCAATTATTTAATTTTGTTTAATATTTTACATCCTATTGATTGGGAATTTGGAATATTGTTATTTTCTGAAAAGTGCGTAATTTTATTGTATGTGGAGTTTCTTTTTTTTTATGCTCTGAAAATAACAAATTTTGGACAAAAATTTTGAGTCTGCTCATATTATTACAGAAAAAGATTAAAAAGAAAGCATGATTTGAGAAATGATAAAAGTACAAATAAATATTTCTCAAATAAATATGTGTATTAGAAAAGATGAGATAATCATACTCTATACGACTTATCTAAGCAATTTTTTCTAATTTTGCGATTTTTTAAAATTTTTTGCTGAGACTAAAATTGAAAATTGATGGTCAGAAGAGAATTCATTTCTGATTATTAAAAAATATATTCAGGTAGTTACATAGGTACAATGAAAATTTTAAGAAAAGTAGCATTTAAGTGTTGGATGCATGTTGGATACATATACATATATTATTTTAACAAAGATTAAAGGACAAGAATTGTACTATTATTGTTATTTCAAATTATATGATAGGATCTTATGAACCAAAAGCGTGGAAGACGATTATCATTAATCGCGTCCATAATACGGAAGGCAACTCAATCTGTCTGTCAGGGAACAGACGTCCTGTTCGAGACATCTAACGTCACAAGCAAATCCGAGATCGTGTAATTAACAGGATATATCCTCTCTCACTCCTACCATTCTCCCATATGTCAATCCGCTCCTTCAAAGAGAAGCTGGTCTGCTCCTGTTGCTGACGCAGACAAAAGCAGATCTCAGATTGCTACTTCTATCCAAAATGTTCATCAAACACAATTTGTCCGTTGCATATTCTTCAAATCTCGTTATGAGTTTTAACTGAAAATGTTAAGAAAATGTTATACAGGATGTTCGATAAGTAACGATAAAACTCTCGTATAGGAGTAGAGTAGATCAAACTGAATCGAAAAGTCCTGTACATTTTACAATTTTCGCAATAGTTCACAAGA